TGGCTGTTGGACGGCACTGGAAAATGAACGGTTGAATTTTGTAAATATTTTTTTTCTTGTTGAGCCTGGAAAAACAAAGCACCACATATGCCCTGGGCCCCAAGAACACACAGAAATGTAGAGTAAGCTATCTTTAAAAAGCAGACAAACTGACAGTGCTTAATAAATAAATAAATAAAGTAACATTTAGGATCTTAAATACCTGCATGTTTCTTGCTTGTCAAATTAACCTTAATTAAGGTAAATTAAGACAGTGGGTTTCATGTGAAATATTTAAGAGAGTTTTAAGAAAATATGACCATGTTTCCAGAAATATTTGGTAGGTAAAGCAAGGGTGTTAGGATATTTCGATAACACACATTAAAGATTTCCTGATCCTGCAAACTACTAAGCTCTTCCTCTGAGCGGGATCACTAACAATTCCCAGGCTTTGCTCAACTCCACGCTTAATTAACCTTTTGCTAATAAACATTAATAGCCCAATTTAGCTCCATAGCTAAACTTCATTGACAAAGTGGTTGTTCAGTCAAGCCCACTTAGCTACCTGTGTATTTATTTTTAGTCTATGCATAACAGACATGTAAATAGATTTGTATTTTAAAGCAAGATTTTAGACAACCAAGATCTGAAAAAAATTACTTCACAGAATAAATAAAATTTATTCCTTTAAATAAAATGTTTTGTCATGGTAGCTAACTAAATTGGAATATAAAACACTTCACAAACCAACATATATCTTTATTATGTTCTCCTCTAGTTTATTTTATGCTTGTTCTTAAATGTAAATGGATAAATTATAACTTTATTCTCCTTGTGAAAAAAGTATAAGAATGTAGATTGTAAATTTAGTCATCAAACAGCATTATTTTTGTTCTATGATGCTATTTAAGAAACATAACAGGACAGAAACCTTGTTTTCTATATCCTGTCCCCACACTTGTCAGATAGGATCATATGATTTCTATACTCATTCTGCTTTCAAGTTAAAATCATTAATGATATTTTTACACAAGCAAATTTGATCTTATATTTGAAATATATATATATATATATCATATATTTGTCTATACTATGTATTTTCCCATTTTCCAGTAATAGGCAGTAATACTGGAATTTTTTGCTCAGATGATAAAATTTTCTGGGAAGACTCAGTGGAGTTTTGCATTAGAAACAAAAGCAGGTAAGAGCTGTTGTTCCCTGAGTGATACTTGGATGCAGAAAGGCACATATTATTTGTCTGAATCTCGCTGGAAAATTAGGAGAGGGGGAAAGGAGCATTTCCTAGCTGCAAAAGCATGAAGTAGAGGGGAAAAAGTCTTTTTCTACTTAATAAAAGATACTTAAAAACCTGGAGAGGAAAAGATAAATTCTAATGGGTAAATCCCGCAGTCACTTGCTCTTTGCTGCTGTAATTCTAAGCACAGCCCCAGTTGTACAGCGGCTCCCCAGCCAGATGTGGTCCCATCACAGCTCCCAGGACAATACAAGTGTCAGTGTCTGCCAAGCACACTTCTTCTCAAGGACATTCACATAGATGGTCCCTGTTGAATAGTTACAAATTTTACTAAGGAATTACAAGCACAAGGATGAAGCATCCAAAAGCTAAACACTGCCTTTATGGTATAAATGAATTGCATCATTGGGTGCTGTAGTATTCTTAGATTATCTCATACTAACAGTTAAAAATAAATGTGTAAACATTTATACATGTATAATTTTGTTGAGATATGTTATTTAAAATCACTTGGCTTCTCTGTAATATCAACGATATTTTTATCTGATCAGTGTGTACACAAATGGAAGTTACTGTTTAGTTTTTAACAAATAACAAATATAAAGTGAGTAATATAAGCCATACTTACCAGGTAAAAAGGACTAACTTAAAAAAGTTTGATTTATGGAAATCTTTAGTGCCTGTTTTATTGTAAAAGGCTAGAAGTTCTCTCATTTTGTTTGTGGTCTAGTTTTTTTTTACACATGCTTATTCATGTATAAAGTGGTACAGTTTTAATTAAACAGTGTGAAAAATGCTTATGATTGCAGGAACTGATTTCTCACGCTGTCTTGCAAAGTCAAACATTTGGGCAAACCACATTGACTCAAGTTTTTCCCATGTTTACAATTAGAAATTTTTTTAAATTTATTTTGCTATTATATTGTTTGAAAACGTTCCATAAGTGATTTCCAAATATATAGGTTCAGAGAAAGAGGATTAATAAATGTTATATATAATAACCATAAATGTGATCACATGACAAAGTCCTCAGAAATGCCTCTTTTAATTAAGTTATTACTAATGTTGACAATTTTGTTCATTTCTGGTTATTTGCTCTGGTCTTTTCTTGATATTCTTCACATTTTGGCATTTAACCTAGACTAAAATTTAGAGTTTTTATTTAAAGAGTAGCGTGTCTTGAATTATATCTTGCAATTCCACCCTTCTGTGAATAACCCTGCATTCCACTTTCCAGAGAGCCAGGTTCTCTATTATACCCCAAATCCTGCCACCACTGAAGGGATATCTCTTGGTGTGTGTATGACTGCGTGCAAACAAATTGCAATTTAACTGGCAGCAATACATTTCATAACCTAATAGTTAACTTTGCATCCTTATTTTACAAAATACTCAATTTCATTGCACTGATCACTTTAAATAACTTTGTCATATTGAAGAGGGAAAGAATTAATTACATTTCAGATTGCAAATCAAGTTGAAACCCCTATCAAACAGCACGCAAGTAATGGGCTCAAATTGTGATAGACTAATGTAACTTGCAAATAAAAATGTCATATCTGCAATATAACTATATGCATGGATTTCTCCCTGCCCCCAATCCTCACTCTTTTAACTCAAGTCTATAAAGTGCACTCTGTAATGCATTATTAAGCTAAATTCTGACCCAGTTTCTTAATTTTCTGTAAGCTACAGGGAATTTGTAGTGGAATATTAACTAAGGCAGGAGATGTAAGACAGAAGAATCCATGATGGTAAAACATAGTCTCATTAGCATTTTGCTAAAAAAAACCTTCACATTTTAATATTTAGCCTAACCTAACATCTAGAATTTGTATATAAAAGAGGAGCAAAGAATAAACCAACCAATCCAAACGAGCCACGTAAGCCCCCCAAAAAACCCCAAAGCAGACTGAAAGTATTTGGGGGAGTATTCCTGCATTCACAAACCCAAAGAAGGAAAACATCCCTGGGACAAAAGTATGGTATTTTTACTGGTATTTTCAGTGGATTTCATTGACAGTTGCTATAGTCTCATAGAACATTCTGTACTAGACTATTTGAGATGAACTGTATCATACCTTCCAATATGGGTAATATATATATATGAACAACATTTATTGAGGGTGCAAAAAAGACAAATAACCATTGCACTGAAAGGGCTCCCAAGCATTTTCCTTCCTGGTTAGTATCAAGACAGCAGTTCCAGTTTTATACTGCTCCACACCGGTAAACCTGAAGGGAATATATGCTGTTTCCTTGGTAGAAAATTAACCGTGGATATTAGAAACAAAGAACACAGACTCCTACCTGCCAAGCTGCAAGCAGAAAGGATTCTCAGTCCTACTGCGTCCCCGATGAAATACATAAAAGAGTCTGAGTGAGCAAAAAACATACTGCAAGAGCAATGTGTCAGTGAGAACAACTTTTAATGCAAAACATTTTTCAAAATTATTTGAGGGGTAAAAATACTTCCCCCTATCCCCCAAATGCAGGATTTTTGGTACGCTCATGGAGAAGGTCAAGCTTTAATTTTGAAGTTTAGACAGCAGAGAAAGTCTGCAATATATACATTTATAATTTTGTGGACAGGATGTATATATTCAGTTTGAAGATCAAAGAAAACCCATGCAGTCTAACTACCACAAAGCTGAGAAGTCACCTAACTCAGCAGAATATAGACTTTGTATATACATTAAAAAAAGATTTGTTTTAAAAATTCATCAACAAAGAAAGCCTACTGTTTGAATAAGAGTAAGAGTCAGTTAAATACAACATTTTATTAGTAATAGTGTCAATTGCAACTTATGTGGCAAGTCTGCAGTTTGCAAAACATCTGATGATTTAAAAGTGCTAACAAGTTTAACGTACATTCAAGTACATTGCTTCAATTTGAAGTGAACTGGAGCGTCTGAATGTCTCTGCTAATCCTAACGCTGAATTTCCCCCCTTTGACCCTCTAAATATTACAACCCTCCAAGGACCAGAGGTGTCCAGAATTTCTCTAAACTGACAAACATCAAGGCTGAAACACCTGTCCTTTGCACATAGGAAAAAGATACCAACAGTTCATATTTGAGTACCTAAATCTGTGCTTAGGCATCTAAATAAATCGCCCAATTTTCAAAGGTCAAATTTTGTAGAAAGTAAAAGTAGCTCATGCTTTTACAACATTCGTTTGTTTTTTTGATTTTTCTTTCTAGAATAATCTCTGTATTCTATCAAGCCCAATCACTCATAGCAGAGTATCTTCAATAGCAAATGAGCACATTTTCCACGCAGATGCATTCGCAGGTTGGTTGTGCTGGCTCGCGATGCAGCAGCGTTCAGTCAACTTGTCTTTGCCCAGGGAGAAAGTGACTGCTCCACACGCTCCTGGGACAACCCTGGGTGCCCAAAAAGTACCCGGAGGATGTTCACCAATGTCCACGTGCTATGCAAACCCTCTGCAGCATCCCCTCGGGCGAGCGCATGTGCTTCTGTCAGCCCCCGAAGTGCTTGATCCAGTGCTGAAATGATGCCAGCTCTTTGGAGACCCTTGGGACCAGAGCAGGTAGGGCTGGACAGACAACCCAAAGGCCTCAACCCCCTCCCCAGCAGGCAAAGAAAAGTCCTAAGTGAAAATATGCTGGTATCTACTGTTCACTTTGTAGCATAATAACCAGTGTTATTAGAAATAATTGAAAGAGAATCCCCCTCCCCAAAAGCGAAATCAGTATTTAGCCACTACAAAGGTTTGCCTCCTTGCGTCATGCTGCTTCATGTGCTTTGCTACTTCTCTTGCAAAACGTCCAGTGAGAGACTTTTCTTTTCAGGGCTCTATTTCTTCCATCACTTCCATCACTATAGTTCGAGGGCCGGTGAGGATGAGGTTGCTCACTGTCCTGTAATCCACGTGGAGAACGTTGAGGCCGTTGACCGAAACAACAAACTGGCAAACCTGAGGAGAAGGACAAGCAGCAAAAGTGACGCACTGGAATCTTTTTAATTATTTTTTGGGGGGTAAAATTACACACACTAACACATTATCAACATCTGGGTCTGCATGAGCTCTCAGCACCATTAAGAAACACACTTTAGAATTAGCTGAGAGAGTTAATCTTAAGCGAGTTAATCTTACATAAAGCTTTTTGGCAATGCCAAACTCCTTACTATCCTTAGTTTGACTTAAAGCCTTTCACGGAAACCATTCAAACAACTTTTGGTAGTGCAGCAGGCGTATGGGTCATGTTTTCAGGCTCAGAACAAAGTCTGAATAGTGACCATACTAAATTCAAGGCCAGAACTTCCTCCAACGTGACCTGCCCTGAAAAGAACTAAGTTCTAGGAAATAATATAAGGGGAGATGTAGTCACATAGTTCCCAAACAGGTTAAAATGCCTCACTGTTTTTCTGCAGAAAAATGCACAAATTCCTTTCTACTTTATTTGTGCATGTATTTGTGTATGTTCTCTCTCTTTTTTTTTCCCCCTTTGGAAAGCATGACCCATTAATGAATTTTAAATATGCTAATATTTTATCTTTAAAAACATATCAAATTCATGTAATGAAAATTTTTGAGGAACAGAGGCACACCCAAAATTCTTGACAGAAATATTCTGACCAACTCCACTATGCACCTTAATACAGTTAGGGAATACTGGAAAAAAAAATCACAATATTGTAAGAATCTGAATAGGAGGGGAAAGGCAACAGGACTGATTCCTCAAGAAAACATTAAGCCTTCTCTGGTTCTAATCATATTATTACAGTACTTGTTAAAAAGATCAGAAACACACAGTGATCAAGATCTACATTTCTAATGACAAAAACATGGAGCCCAAAGCAATAATCTCATCCTGATGTTTCAGTGAAATGAGCACATTCACTAGAGGTTATCTTATTCTCAAGAGATCTGGAGTCTGTGAGAGATACTATGGAGAGAGTTTCACTTTAAGAATTTTCACATGTTATTTTATACTTTATTTTTTTCTATTTAGATAGAAACACAATACAACAATTTATCCAGGGGAACTGGGAAGCAGCTCTGGTGCCTTACTTTCCTGAAGCAGATTTCTTGCAACCCAAGTCAAGGCATTAAACTTGTGTCTCAGGTACCTTCTCTTTGCAAAACAGCGCTTTGGTCTGCTGAAACTCAATTCATACTTGTGTACAATGTGCAGAATGTAGTGTTCCTTCTAAGGAAAATCTTCTATTACAGAGCAAGCAATGCCAAAACAAAAATGTAACATTTCATCAAAAATTCTACCAGCGATTTTTGTCTCTGCTGTTTGGAGCCTGTGCGCAGGAGCTGGAGGCTGCAGCCCCTAAAGGGGAGACTTTCAAAACATCCCCTAAAACTCCTCACTGACCCACAGGGCTAAAGATCCTGCCTTACTGGTAGCCAAAACGTTTGGCTCACAGAAGCAGAGAAATAAGCTATACCCTTTTAGTCACTTCTGTGGCAGTACGGCTGTATCTTTCCTACACATTCACACACAGTTTCAGCTGCAACTAGTATCGGTAAAACAGTTCCATTTTTGTGTGCAGGCGACTTCCCAGGCTTAAGGACTTTGGCTGAAAAGGGCAACTCATTATCCTCTCCAGTGTGCCTCAATTAGAATTTAAGAGGTATGCCTAGTCAGTATAAAATACAGGTTTTTGCAGTATCTATAGGTCATGCAACTCCCAGCAGTTTTTCCTAACGCTTTCTATGGCTTTCCAAGATTGTATCAAGTTTTACTGAATTATAGCTCTGGCTCCAAGATAATATTTGGGTTGATTTAAAACAGACCTGCAGAAATAATATTGTCTCTTCTGGCTTAGTGCAGTTTTTGGAAGTTGGAGGGTTGACATTCGTTTCCCTGCTGCCTTTTCTCAGACTTCTCAAATGACAGGGACCCCAGCGCGTGGCACTGCCGCCTGCCCAGGGACAGGCCTGCAGGCGTGTGATGGAGAAATGTGCACGCTGGGTCACGCAATGCAGGGCACTGGTGGGACCCCAGGGAGCATCTCTGGCAGAGAAACAGCTTTCCAGCCACTTGCATGAGAGGTGCAACAGTGTCAATGTGGAAGTCATAGACACCGCAGTCGTGTGAACTGTGATCCAGATGCCCAAGTGTGAGTTTCAGGCTTAAAAAAGTCATGTGTACCTGCTAGACCTGTTTCTTGTAGTGCCTGCCCCTGACAGTGTCATTTATCATCATCGGATGAAAGGAGTCCCTCTATGTTTTGCTCTGTACTGGATTCAAATGGCATATTGGTTCACTGATTTTTTAGTGAATAAGATTAGATGCAAAAAGCCCACCCAAACCAGAAGGAGAGAAATGCCGAGAGCACAACAAACCACAAAAGAGAGCACATGTCCTAAAACTGCATCAAAGGACTGGTGAGGAAAGGGTGAGAGCTGAGCCTGAAGAGCCTCTGTCCACTGCCAGCATTTCAGCAGCGGTCCCGAAGGGCCGAGTTTCTGCAAACTGCAGATCTGCCTCCTTCTGCAATCAGGAAATATGGAGCCATTTGCTTGGTCCTGCTGCCACCGTGTTTGCAGCCCTGAGAGCCCTGGCATGCTCAAGTCAGCGGTGCCTTCAACACCTCAGATGCTCTTAGATATCACAGCGCTACATTTATAAAAACACTTCAACATCACTGCTACATTTATGAAAACACTTCAAAAACCCGCAAGCGATCAGCTCACAACTGAGGCTGGTTCCGGTTGTGTTTAAGGGCTTTGTAACCGTAAACACGTAAAACTTCTCTGCTGGTTTTCACATATTGGTGAGCCTACTTGATAACAAAATAAAGATAAAAGAGACTGAAAGCGCCTTTGTTACTCATTTCCTCATAGCTCTCTAAGGAGCTTGAAAGGAGATAAGCACTGTTCTTATCTGTCAAACTTCAAGACATGACAAAACCCAAAATTAACTCTGAACATTTTGCTAGGCAGGATGCAATGATATAAAAAACACACAAACAATAACAGTTAAATTAAATAGCAGGGAAACAAAAAGACTCTCTTAACTACTTTTGATATTTACACTTTACATTAATAAACATTTTTTTGGCAACTATTCCTCTTTCCCACAATGTCCCACAGAATTACAGACAACAGAAAGGGTATCGATGCTTCTGTAATTCTGTGTGTTTGCAGTATCTCTTGCAGAAGATTTGTCCAGAACCAGGTGTTCCCAGAAAAAAAAAAACAAAAATCTAAAATGAACAGAAAGAGAAAGCCATTAGGTTTATTAGGTTTGTCAGAACATTTATCCTCTCCTGAAGATGGCTAGAAGGTCAGTTATAATTACTGCTACCGTAGTGTTTAATGCCGAGGATGCTGTTGCACTGGGAGCTGGGCCACCCCTTTGGTTTTCTTACAGACACGCTTTAGAAGGGTGCTATGAAAGATCATAAGCGCCAGAAATTCCTGCTTTTTTTTTCTTAAGTGACGATTGCCAAGTTTTTTGGAACAACCCTAAAAGCAGCACTTAATTTTATAGAAGCAATGAATGCAACCGTTAATCATTGGTAGCCACCAAGGAACAACTGCACAGAGCCAACAGATAACGCATCTCATAACAGCAAGACAAGAGCATCTTTGCACAGCCACTTTAATTTGACCGAAATCTTCACAAAAATGAGAGATGCATTTCCAGGGGATCCAGTTTCTCGTTTGCACAGTGGCCTGGATGCCGGGCCGGCAGCAACGCCGCCCGCGGGTGGTTGGGGAACTGCCCCTTGCAACAGCCACAGAAACAGGGGCAGGCTTTAAAATGCTGTGGTTTAAGGTGCTAATTCTCAGCTGATTTATCATTTCCTCTCAGTGTCCGGATCAGGTCTAGAATCCACTCTGATTTTTCATTGACTCTGTTTAAAACAGCATAAACTCCTCTGCAGCTCGTGACCATGTATGGACCAAGAAAGCAACCTTAGCAAATACAAAGCAGGCCTGAACCTCCCAGACACAAAGCCACGTTTTGCAATGACATGCTAATGACAGGCAAAATTGCTGACCTGAGTAGTACCAAGGTTCTACCCCATCAGCTGGGCAGACCATAGGGTCTAAGGCTGCAATTCAGTAGTCTCTACCCACAAGTCGTCTCCTTCGGCAAAACTAAAGCCCAAGGGACTGCAAGGTTCCTCTGCAGAGGCAGTTTGCACTGCTGCGTGGTAGCAGCATAGGCAGACACAGAAAACCTTGCAACCAGCTGATTTCCATTGCTGGGGGGATGATCACAGTCCATGTGGCAATGCTGGATCACCAGCTGAGGGGACACAAAAGCCACACCAATAGCTTTTACTCTGCTTAAGAAAATTGCCCAAAGTGTTTTAGGAGGAAAGTCAAATACAATTTATGAATTCAGACAAATAAAAGCTATTTGCAACTCTGGCAAATTCTTAAGTGTAAGTTCCTGAGAACTACAAGGGAAGTTGCTGAAGCAAAGATTCTGTCAGAGCGACCTGAAGAGAATAATTCAACTCCTTTACAGACTAAAACTGATATCACGATGTAAAATGTAGCCATTTCCCTCCCCAAAAATCCAATGTTAAGTCTTTCGCCTTTCTCTGAACTAATGAAAATTAAAGTAAAATCAGCTTAAAATAAATGTCTGTTTAAATTTCCATTTTAGACATACCCTCCATAATTATAAATAAATGCTTTTTCCATGTCCCACTAATCCTACTTGGACAAGGATCAGCTGGCTGCTTTGAGTAGCTCAAACTTATAATTATTTCATTATGGCATTCTGAAACTCACAGTGATCTTCCAGAACAAAAATTCTCCATGGACGAAGAGCAAAAACATGTCCTTTGCAGGTTCAGTCCACACGAGAAGCCTGCAAGATCCTTGTTTCTCTTACCCATCAGGTCATGCTGGCAGTGTCAAAATACCAAGCTAAGAAACCCTAACTGCAGTCACACGTGCAAGTTGTGGCTCAAAGATGCCCATTTTGCAATTATCGG